GTTTAAGCTGCCAACTCAAAAGGGACACATTAGAGGGTATCGGTGACAGGAAAATGTCCTCATGGTTTTGCTAGTTCCCAAGGCACTTGCCAAACAAATAATGTGCATAAACACAAGAAGGATCGAAGAAGAAGGGAAAGGGGTAGGTGGGAGAGAACATGGGGCAGAAAGAGGCCTACACAGAACATCCCTGCATTGCACCAGGTTGAGGGGCTGAGAAGATACAAGATGTGGAGAAAAAGAAAAGCTTCCCTTGAACTTCAAAACTAGGAACCGGAAGCCAGCTTCTTTTTCTTGCTGTATTCATATGAAGAAGTGGCTCTAAACTTGGAGTCATCCAACAAACACTGATTGGGTGCCAGGTGCTGAGTCTCCCTGAGGTGGAAGAATTGTTCCACCATTAAGTGGGGACTGTGAAGCTGCCCTTCCATTCTCTGGAGTTGAGTTGTGGTTAAAGAGGAGAGGCAGGCACTTGAGTTTACTTTCCTGCCCAGAACTGCCCCACTCTCCTTGGCCAGAGTCTTCCTCCTACAGGCCAGTCCAGGCTTCTTTGAGGGACTAAATGCTATAGCCGCCCTATTTCATAAATGAAGGCACCAAGGCCCTCGAAGATTACACAGGTCTCTAGATTTCCAGGGTCATAGCTACACTTAACCAACAGGGAACCTTTCCAACCATGGTTCAGTAGCATACAACCCTTCTTATCTAATAAGATAATGACCGCCACTATTCCATCTTTGGTTCCTGTCCTTCAGCCACCCATGATGGTCCATCAGCAACAGGAAGTGCGCCCTGGAATTCTAATACAGCTCTATATGCACTTTCCAAATTTTTCCAAGCACATCAAGGACACGTATGTTAAGCAGCTCACATTTTAAATGAGGCTTCTTAGTCTCTGCCTTTCTTTATCAAGTAAATGTCCTCACCACTGATTAAAATTAAAGCCTCTGTCCAGGGGATACAGTGATCCTATTATGTAATAACTGCTTTCATATTCTACATGCTTTGCCTCTTAGATCCTTCAATAGACCTGAAAGTCTGTATGTCATTCTCTGTACCCAATCAGTCATAGCTGCTGCTACAGTGTGCCTTCTTCTCCAGTGTCCTGTCCCCCCCCCCCAAAAAAAAAATCTACCTTCAAATTGTACCTATAAGTCATCAATGTTACATTCAATGGTCTACTCCAAGATTTCTCAAGCTTGGCATCATTTTTGTTGTGGGACTGTTCTATGCATTGGAGGATGCTTAACACCATCCTTGGCCTGTAAGCACTAGATGCTACAAGTATACACTTCCTCGACCTCCCAGACATGATAACCAAAAACACTCCAGGGCAAGGGATGGAGAATGATCTCAGTTGGGAACAAATGTACTAATCTAATGATGACTCCCTTCATCGCTCCAGTATCATCTCATCATTATCTTTCCTAACAAATCATAAAACTGTTGTTGCCATTTGCCCACTGAAGTGTGGGGGAATTTTCCTACTTCTTCCCATTATATTTCAGGCTTATTAGAAGCATCTATATCTTCTGCCCCTCCCCACTTTGGCAATTTTCCATTTTTCAACTATGGAGGATTAAAAACGCCTTCCACATTTTTTTTCTTCTTTCTTTTCTTTTCTTTTTTTCTTGTGGGGCTTGAACTCAGGACCTGGGCGCTGTTATGGAGCTCTTTTGCTTAAGGCTAGTGCTCTACCACACTGAGCCATAGCACCATTTCCCACTTCTGGTGGTGAATTAGAGATGAGTCTCACGAACATTTCTGCCTGACCTGGTTTCAAACTGAGATCCAAGGATCTCCTCCTCAGTAGCAAGGATTACAAGGGTGAGCCACTGGTGCTTGGCTACAATTTTCAATACAAGATCTCTCTTTTTTTGTCCATGGTTCAACAATTCCTTTTATAGCTCTAATTCACTAATACTTGCCATAACCTATATCACATTCAATGGTTTATTGCTATGGATAGACCTCTCTTATCACTTCCATACTTAGTCAAGTTTTTTAAAAAAAATTTTGGTTGTGGGGCTTGAACTCTTGGCCTGGGCACTATCCCTGAGCTCTTCAGCGCAAGGCGAGCACTCTACCACTTGAACACAGTGCCACTTCCAGCTTTCTGGTGGTTAGTTCAAGATAAGAGTCTCATGGACTTTACCGCCCTGGCTGGCTTTGAACTATGATCCTCAGATTTCAGCCTCCTGAGTAGCTAGGATTACAGGCATGAGCTACCAGCACCCAGCTTAGTCAAGCTTCTTTAATCAGGATTATTATGTGTGGAGCCATGCATAGTTTTCCTCTCCCATTACCAAAACTATATTCTGAAAAAAAATATTTTATGATCCTTCTCCAGGAGCAACTAGATACTGGTATATAATGAATAAACCAAAGTACTTTCTTTTAAAAATGCTGCTGTGCTAGATTGTCAAAGACAATAGATCCCATGATTTTTCCAAGGGCCAATATAACTGGAAAGCCATGAGGCCATCCGCATTTGATCGACAAAGATGAGGATTTTCCTTGGGAGAAACCCTTGGGTAAAATCGGAGCTAGAAGCATAGGTAATTAGTGACCACTCAAATACTCCTACACAAAGGGTGCTGATTAAAATGAAGCAATGTCTGCCGGGAAGAAGGCATCTATCCACTGGCGTGTGCATAAATACACTTCCACATCTTAATCAATATTTTAGAGGAGGTAAGAGGAAAAGCTAATTACTGCATCAAAATTGTAGATGCCAAATGCTGGATACATGGCAAATCAGGATCCACACATCCAACAGGACAGTGATAGATTAGAGGCAGCATAAGAGATTTCACAGAGTTCATTAGAAAATCTCTGTTGCAGAGAGTGCTGAGTGGCCCTCAATACTTAGCCTGTTCTTCTTTAGTAACAAAAGGCAATTCTCTCCCTGTGTCTAACTTCTGGCCCATGGAATATAGGCAGTAATGTTGAGTGGGATTTTCTAGGAAGATTATTTAAGAACTAACTTGGCTGGATGAACATCCGTTTGACTCTTTAGCCTTCTCTCCATTTTTTAATGCTGTCATGCCTTGAAAGATCCTGTGCAGTCTCTCTGGACCATGCTGTGACCTTGAGGATAGAAGTTTGGTACTTCTGCTAACAGACAAAGGCAGAAGAGCCTGTGGTTCTGATGACACTGAAGCTAGAAGAGCAATCCTGGATAGTCCACAGTTAAGATTCTTGTCATGTGTTACAAAATTAATATTTCTTTGGTAGATAATAAAATGTGGAGTCCTTTTAAGCTACTCTGTTAGTTTTGGCTTCCATTACAATCAGCTCAGTACAATTCCTACATGTTATAAGTATATCCTCAAAAACATACACTGAAGTCCTAACCCTTAGTACTTGTAAATGTGACTTTATTTGGAAATACAGTCCTGGCAAGTGAAATCAAACTAACACAAAGTTGTACTGCATTAGTGTGGGCCCTAAACCAGTCACTGATGTCCTTAGAAGACACATTGGGAGAAGGCAGCCATGTGCAAATAGAAACAGATATTATTTAGAGTGATATATTTATATGCCAAGAAACACCAAGGATTAATGGATGCTAGATGATTCAAGATTCTGCCCAACAGCCTTCAAAAGCAGAATGATCACAATGAAACTGAAATCTTAAGACTTCTGACTTCCAGAATAACGAGACAACAAATTTCCATTCTTTTAAGTCACCTACTTTGTGGTACTTTGTTAATATACTACCTCCAGAGTCTTATACCTCATTTATTCTAAGAAAATGTGATAGGACCAAGCTTAGCATTTGCATGTACAAAAAAATTGGTATATAGTTTAGTATATAGAATGTTCAAAATTTAAAAAAAAATGCTGTGGATACAGATGCCAAGAAAGTTAATGCAATACCAACAGACTTACTAGAAATTAACTATTCAAGAAAGGTTTATTCTGTTCCATATTAGCACCAGTCAGAGTACTTGAAGTACTGGATGCAGTTTTGAGTTTCTCACTTTATCAAGATACAACTCATATAATGAACATATAACACATTTGCTTTAGCTTTGTGCAGTACCATTCAGTTGAGGAAGGACCAATAAGTGAGCCACAGGACACACATTCAGGCCCTTCAACCTAATGAAAAACGAGATAAGATAAACTTTAGAGGTACATTGAAAGAAGTAACCCAAATGTCCATTAATGGAAGAATTGATAAACACATTGCAGCAAATCTGTCCAATGGAATATTGTCTGGGAACAAAAAAAAAAAAAACCAGTGAAAACTGAGAATGTTACAACATGAAAGAACACTACGCTAGGAAGCTGTGAAAAAGACAGCCATATCATATCACATTTCATTAATATAAAATATCCTGGATAAGCAATTCTATAATAGAAACAGAAAATAGACTAGTTGTTCTGAGAGCTTGAAGGATCAGAGAATGGGGAATAACTGCTTAATAGGTATGGGGTTTGCTTTCTGGGGTGATGAAAACAGTTTTAGAGCTAGTGGTTGTACAACATTATGTAAGTACTAATGCCACGACACTGCTCATTTTTAAATGGTTAACTTTATGTTAGGGGAATTTTATCTCAATACAATAAAAAAACACAAAGCTAGCACCTGCTTGGTTGTAAAAGGCTGTATGGAGAAGTTAGCGATCTCACATCAAAGATGTACATCAAAGTCACAAAGAGGATCGTTCGATAAAATCCTTTCCATTACTAGATAATTACCAATGACCATTCAGACATTAAGACTTTTTGCCATAGTTCAAAGATTCTTTTCCTGTGTAACTTATGCTTCCTGCCTTAGGAGACCATAATTATTTTCATGTTTACTTCATATGCAGAAACAAGACATTACCTAGGTAACTTGGCAAGATTCTTACGATCCCTAACTTGCTCAACAAATCAACAGTCTCCAGCTACCACATCATTTCCCTTAAAGAACAGAAGTCATGTACAGTATTCATATTGTTGTAAAAGATTTTAGTAGGTTTATAATAGACGATAATAAAGAATACCTAGGTAGGGGTATTCCAAGGTAGGGCTAGCAGCCATTTCACTGCTTTTCTCAGATATAGCCTTCAAGAAAATGAGTTGAGTCAACAAATAAATTAAGGAGACTGCCACAATGTTCCTGCCCAGGCACTGTCCAATTACAGAAATTATTTCTACCATGATTCAAGAAGAGACACCTGAAGATACTTTCTCAATTCCATACCAAGAAAAGAGTTGCTCATGAGAAAAAAGTGTGATTTGAAATTTTAGTTCTATGATGAAACATTAATTTTTTTAAAGCAAAGCTTTCTGCTGAATTACATAATAAAGAATCCACTGTGGCTCCATTCACATCGGTCACGTTAAAAATTCAGAACCATGTTCTTAAAGGAAGAGATATTAAAATATCTACTGTTTAATCTATCACCAGTGTGAAAAAGGATCTTATTACTATTTAGTAATCTAAATAGGCAAGCTTTTTTTTTTTTAAAAAGGTACTTCCTATGTAACAAAACTTGGAATATTTTTAATAAGCGGTAACTTATATACAGTTAAATTCTCCTGGGCGTAAAACACCTTACTGATACAAATAGATTTACGAAGTATCGGAAAAGAAAGAAGGGGCATGTCTAAAGCCCTGGGAACAAAAATGTCCCAGCTTTCTCCTAACTCTGGCAACACGAGCCCGAAGGGCAGCCAGTTTTCATATTCGCAGTCAGCTCTGGAAAGCACTCAAGTCAACTGCAACCCAGGACTAAATGGGAGTAGATTTATAATGTGAGGAAGAGACTGGCACATGAAGAGGCTAGTGCTTCACCACCACAAACCTCATCAACATGTTTCAAATCCTCACTAGCCTGATACTAGGAATGGATGGCATTCTGTCCAAATAGACATTTGCAAATGGCAATTGTTGCCCACTGATAGCAATTTTATACAATCTAGATGTTAAACTAGTTTTAAAAACATTCATATTAGTGTATATTCGCTATGAAACATAATGGGTTTCAGGGTGACATTTTATACATGCACATTGTATAGTTTGATCATATTCATCCTCCTTTGCCCTTTCATGTTCTCAACCGATTTCCTCTTTCCAAATACTCCCCCACATAACTTCATGTTGTATTTTCTAAAATCTAGATTCTGCACATGAGAGAAAACATATGAAATATTTGTCTTTCTGAGTCTGGTTTATTTTGTTTAACACAGTGATCCTCAGTCCCATCCATTTTCTTGGAAATCACATAATTTCATTCTTTTTTATGGTTCAAAAATACTCAATTACTTACACACACACACACACACACACACACACACACACACACACACACACACACACACACACTTTCCTTATCCACTCAACCATTTATAAACAAGGAAATGTCCTGCTCATTAATGTTTCAGTACTTAGCAAAGTGTCTATGACATGCATATATTTAATAAATAATTATTAAAAGCTCAGAGACAGTGCCCAAGCCGCAGTAATAGCACAAGAAATAAAAAGAAATTAAGGTATGACTGAGACCTATAACTGGGGAATTAAGAGTGAGATGAGCATAATCTAGATAGGACTTTGGAAGACTCTTCAGTTAATTGTGATGATTATGTCCATTGTACAACTGTTTTGGAAGCTTCTTTGGAATTTTGAAAAGATGAAAATTATTTTTCCCACTAGGAAAGCCCACAGACTTCATAAACAGAAAATTTTAAATCTCCACTGATCATTACTAACTCAAATGGAGTACAGAAGAGTGGGCTGAATTCCATGATCAAGGTCCCTGTAAGGAAACTGATAATGAGTTATTCCAGAGGGTCATGAGCTAAGCAGCTCTCTACTCCCTAGGAAGAGTAGCTGTAACCTTGGGAAACAGCTACCTGAAATGTCAGTTTTGAGAAGGATGAGGATATGAGGGGAGAAAATGTCACTTTAAAAATGCTTGTGTTGATGTATTCAAAAAAATGGATAAGTCAAGCCGGTGGTTCGGCCTGTAATCCTAGCTACTCAGGAGGCTAAAATCTGAGAATCATGGTTCAAAGCCAGCTGAGGCAGGAAAAATCCAACTCTCTTATTTCCAGCAAAACACAAAAAGCCAGAAGTGGAGCTGTGGCTGAAGTGACAGCGCTAGCCTGTAGCAAAAAAGCCGAGGGACAATTCTTAGGCCTAGAGTTCAAGCCCCACTAACTGCACACCCACCCACAAAAGAATAATAACTTAACCAGTATGTATAAAGCTACTACCAGCAACATCATCAATGACCTTATCAGAAGTTTAATAATCTACTAGCTGAATATATTTTAACTTCTCACCAAGAACACGATCACAAAACAGGCTGACTTTCTAAGAAGTAATTCAAATTTTATCAAACTTGACTTGAGTTCGAGATTTTAAAAGACTCAAAGGCAGCATCAGTTCATGAAGCAAGGTGATTCCCCTAGAGCCTACAACTGGATTGATGAGTCACACTAAATATACACGCTTCGGTTCTTTTTTTTCCCTCTAACTGATGTAAGTCTTCAGATGAGACTGACCTAAAAAGAATTTTTGCTACAACAGCTAATTCTTACATTGTGTTTCACATTAAAAATATCTCTAATTGTCAGGCACCAGTGGCTCATCCTGTAATTCTAGCTACTTGGGTGGCTAAGACTAGGAGGCTTATAGTTGCGGATTAGCCTATAAAGAAAACTTCACTAGACCCCTTAACCGGAAGCTGGGCACAGTGGTGCTGCCTGTCAATCTTGCTACATGGAGGCTGAGAATAGGAGATCAAGGTTTCAGAGAAGCTGGAACAGAAAAGCCAATGAGTTCTATCCAATATAGATGTTGGATTCAATGGTATATGCCTAGTATCTCAGCAATGAAGAGAAGCCTACAATAAGTGGAATGGCATCAATGCATGCACCCAGGCAGGAAGCAAGACCTTATCTCAGAAATACCTAGCACACTAAGAGGTTGGAGATATGGCTTATATTAGAGCATGTGCCTACTAAGCATGAAGTAAGCAAAAATCTCACCCCAACACCACCGTCCATACATTCTACTTGCAACTATCAAAGGTGTACAACAAATAAGGCAAGGAACATTTACTATTTATACAGTTAGTTAAACATAAACTAATGGTAACTTCCAAATGCTGGAAAGGCTGTGGTAAAACTGGACCCTTATTATATACCAGCAGGAACTATTTGGCTAACCCATCAGGAAAGACATTAGACAATATGAATCAAGAATATATTGTACTTAGGCTCTCTGACAAATATTACTGGTAAGAATTTATAGGCAATATGAATCAAGACTATAGTATACTTAGGTTCTTTGATAAATACTACTAGTAAGAATTTATCCTAAGGAAATAACTGAAGCATGATCATTTAAGCAGGAAAATACTCATTGGAAAATTTCCAGTAATGAGATATTGACAAGTAGCCTAAAGTGTACAGTGAGAAGTAAAGTTAAACTGTGTGCAAAAATTTTGGTATTGAAACAAAGTAGCAGCTGGGCACTGGTGGCTCATACCTGTAATCCTAGCTATTCAGGCGGCTGAGATTTGAGGATTGTGGTTTGAAGACAGCCCAAACAGGAAAAGTCCTACCAAAAACAACCAAAAAGCTGGAAGTGGAGCTGTGGCTCAAGTAGTAGAGTCCTAGCCTCAGCACAAAAATTCAGAGGGACAGTACCCAGGTCCAGAGTTCAAAGTCCCAAGATTGATACACAAAAAAGGGGAGAAGTAGCAACACAGTAAAATGGTTGACAAAAGATAAAAGTATAAAAGCTGATTTTTGCTGGGCGCAGGTGGCTCACGCCTGT